TTTTGATCCAACTAATCGCCTCCAAAATTGCATGGAAAATCGCCTCATGTGAACACCGTTTATATAGTTTCATCATAATTATATCTATGCTGCGTTGGAACTTACCTCGTTATCCTTATTATTCCTTATGCCACGCACCAAATCCGTAAGGTTCTTGTCAAACATACGCTCGAAATTTCCTTTTACCTTTTTCAAAGCCATTTTGTATGCAAGCACCTTTTCCACTCAAATTTAACAATGCGACAAATACTTTTGCCTATTTATCCGAGATGTTCAGTATCCTTTGATAATTTGGATACTATGCTGATTTATAACAATTTTGGCTTTTGTTTTTTTATTTTCAATGGCAAATTACATTCACACATTTGATGATGTCGACAATCTTACTTTACTTTTTTATGATTGATTTTTCACTTTATAAAAGCAGTTTATTCCGTTTTCCTCATGGCAACAATTTACTTTTGTTATTATTTCATTCTTGTGAAATCCAAAATTTATTTTAATTGCCACATTTGAATTCATGTATTAAATTAAATTAGAACAAATAGAAACAATTTTCTCAAAAATCCGGATTAACTTCCGCCCGACAAGTGAATAGGGACACGAATTTCGATACGACACGATACCATATCGATATTTTTGCATTTTGATACCGATACGTTTTACTTGACAGTTTTCAAACGATATTTTTTAGAATCGAGTAAAGGTTTTGTTTTCTTGGGTTATCCAGCTCTGGATCACGATCATTTCTTACGGAAACGATTTGGATCATTCTTATTGAGGTTAGCAGCACTAATTTTATATTAGTAGCACGAGGAAGACGATATTATAAAAAGCACCTCACTAAATGGGGAAAAGTATATTTAAACAAAATAATATTCACTTAAATAAACATTTAACATTAAGGCGATTTGTTTGAAACAAGTTAAAAGAAACATTGGTAGAGTATCTGTTTGTGTATACATTAATTTGTCAGTGCTACCAAACGAGACTTCCAAATTATCAGTGAAACAAAGCAAAGTCGCGTTTTGAAACACCACCTTGTATAAATTCGCCTTGGTTTACACTAGACAATACTGCCAGTCCAATTATGTCAAAATGATGTGTTTGTTGTAAACACGGCGAATTCATATTACAAGAAACACACCGTTTCGCCGTGTTTACAACGAACACATCATTTTGACATAATTGTCTTGACAATATTATCCGGTGTAAACCAAGGCGAATTTATACATGGTGGTAGCAAGAATACAACAAACAACAACCACGTGTATTTTGTATCAGGGTCAAAATGTCAAATCTCAATTCGCCTCAAAGTTTATATGTATTTTGTTTTTGCTATTCATGGCCATGCTGTCAAATCAGTAAAAGGAGAAACAAAATACATGTAATGCGAAGGAAAGAAGAAGAAATCAGTAGATTGGACAACACCACCTTGTATAAATTCGCCTTGGTGTTAGGAATTTTCGATATTTAAGAAAGTATCGATATCATGAATCGATTTATTTGATTGCATGTAAAACCGATATGGCGATATATCGGGCTGAACAATATCTATATCGAAAAAATCGATGTTGAAAATTCTACTCCCAATTGAATAGAATATTAAACCTGCCTATCAACTCACCTAATTGTGTTATTTCCAATTTGCATATTTATTGAGGATTAAAACGGCATGCCGAACGACTCCAGCGGTTTGTCAAACTTAAGAGCTAAATAAATCACACAAGCTGCTGATTAAACCTACTTTAGTATTTTCCCATACACTTTTTAGTAGATGAAAAATAAATTTCACCTTTAATATCGATATTGCGGGTAAAGTATCGATGTCTTCGACATGTCGACCTTGGAATATCGATTCAAAAAATCGATTATCGTTTCATGAAATATCGATATTCGCGGGATTCCGCGTTGCGTACGGGAAAGAACCTGATTTTCGTCGTTTACACCCGATTTACATGATTCAAGTACTTGAAAGCAATTCTTGCTCATTCTCTTTTGTGTTTTCTATTTGCTTTTACACGTTTCAATTCTGTTGAATTCAAGTTTTTGATTCTTTAAATGGGAAGCAACGAAAATGCCAAAAGCAAAGCAAGAAAGTTGAAACGACTTGACGGTACAGACGCATGTGTACTCGTCCCTTTTCTTCTCACCCCCTCTCTTCCACATGCGAGCAGAATTGAATTCAATACTTGAACTGTGTAAAAGCAGTCTTACTTAAACTTGTTTACAACACGTCAACTTAAGCCAGAAGGAGGATTTTTTTTTTTTTGTATATTCTTTTTCAGCTCTTTGGCAGTTTGCCGCCTAAAATGCCACATCAAAAAAATTCATGCAAGCAAATAGATATTATACATATTTATTTTTATGAATTACAAAAACGAAAGTCTGGCAAGCCTAATTCTCTCACCGCTCTCAATTTCCGTAAGGCCGTAACTTAAGCTGAAAATAGTCAAGAACGCAGAACGTATACTTAAACGCAGTCTGTATACGCAGAATTTTGTCGATTACTGGAGCCCTCAGTGTTGCTTACTAAAGTGTTGCCACTCATCAATGCCTAAATAAACTTACCTTTTCAACTACAATTTTTCGTGCCATAATAGATCGTAGCTAAATATAAACTACTTATTTTTCAACAAAAAACCTTATTCAATAGAAAATTTCAAATATTTTAAACATATTTTGTATAGGAACTTATAACTTTTTTACCATCTGCTGACACGGAAAAATCTGATTTCCGCATATTTCTGAGCTACGGGCTACAATTACAGAAAAATCCTGCGGTGTTGAGTTTTCATTTACATGGCGCTTTGGTGACAGATCGTGTCAGCTGACACGGGTTTACCTAACGGTAGGTTTACGTTGTTGACTAATTTCAGCTTAAAACCTACAGGTTCTCAAGTTTCTTACGGTAAGTTAAGTTTTAACTTACCGCCAACACAGTTTCTCATATAACAGGTTGGCCGAAATATTGAGTTAAGTTACGGAAATTAAGTCTAGACTAACTGAACTTTTAACGGGTGATTTTTTTGAGGTTAGGATTTTCATGCATTAGTATTTGACAGATCACGTGGGATTTCAGACATGGTGTCAAAGAGAAAGATGCTCAGTATGCTTTGACATTTCATCATGAATAGACTTACTAACGAGCAACGCTTGCAAATCATTGAATTTTATTACCAAAATCAGTGTTCGGTTCGAAATGTGTTTCGCGCTTTACGTCCGATTTATGGTCTACATAATCGACCAAGTGAGCAAACAATTAATGCGATTGTGACCAAGTTTCGCACTCAGTTTACTTTATTGGACATTAAACCAACCACACGAATGCGTACAGTGCGTACAGAAGAGAATATTGCGTCTGTTTCTGAGAGTGTTGCTGAAGACCGTGAAATGTCGATTCGTCGCCGTTCGCAGCAATTGGGTTTGCGAAACACATTTCGAACCGAACACTGATTTTGGTAATAAAATTCAATGATTTGCAAGCGTTGCTCGTTAGTAAGTCTATTCATGATGAAATGTCAAAGCATACTGAGCATCTTTCTCTTTGACACCATGTCTGAAATCCCACGTGATCTGTCAAATACTAATGCATGAAAATCCTAACCTCAAAAAAATCACCCGTTANATTTATGGTCTACATAATCGACCAAGTGAGCAAACAATTAATGCGATTGTGACCAAGTTTCGCACTCAGTTTACTTTATTGGACATTAAACCAACCACACGAATGCGTACAGTGCGTACAGAAGAGAATATTGCGTCTGTTTCTGAGAGTGTTGCTGAAGACCGTGAAATGTCGATTCGTCGCCGTTCGCAGCAATTGGGTTTGTGTTATTCGACCACATGGAAGATTTTACGCAAAGATCTTGGTGTAAAACCGTATAAAATACAGCTCGTGCAAGAACTGAAGCCGAACGATCTGCCACAACGTCGAATTTTCAGTGAATGGGCCCTAGAAAAGTTGGCAGAAAATCCGCTTTTTTATCGACAAATTTTGTTCAGCGATGAGGCTCATTTCTGGTTGAATGGCTTCGTAAATAAGCAAAATTGCCGCATTTGGAGTGAAGAGCAACCAGAAGCCGTTCAAGAACTGCCCATGCATCCCGAAAAATGCACTGTTTGGTGTGGTTTGTACGCTGGTGGAATCATTGGACCGTATTTTTTCAAAGATGCTGTTGGACGCAACGTTACGGTGAATGGCGATCGCTATCGTTCGATGCTAACAAACTTTTTGTTGCCAAAAATGGAAGAACTGAACTTGGTTGACATGTGGTTTCAACAAGATGGCGCTACATGCCACACAGCTCGCGATTCTATGGCCATTTTGAGGGAAAACTTCGGAGAACAATTCATCTCAAGAAATGGACCGGTAAGTTGGCCACCAAGATCATGCGATTTGACGCCTTTAGACTATTTTTTGTGGGGCTACGTCAAGTCTAAAGTCTACAGAAATAAGCCAGCAACTATTCCAGCTTTGGAAGACAACATTTCCGAAGAAATTCGGGCTATTCCGGCCGAAATGCTCGAAAAAGTTGCCCAAAATTGGACTTTCCGAATGGACCACCTAAGACGCAGCCGCGGTCAACATTTAAATGAAATTATCTTCAAAAAGTAAATGTCATGGACCAATCTAACGTTTCAAATAAAGAACCGATGAGATTTTGCAAATTTTATGCGTTTTTTTTAAAAAAAAAGTTATCAAGCTCTTAAAAAATCACCCGTTATTTCAGCACGACAGTAGACAATGCCATTGTTGTCGAGTCGTACAATTTAGGGATTACTAGTTTCCTTCGTTTGGAAATCTATAAATTTGTTTTAATATCCTAATACGAAAAAAGTTGTACTACTTGGCGATACAGTTTATGGATATTTGTTGATTGATGAGTTATCAAATATAGTGGATTATTTTAATTATTTTATTTGGTAAAATTTGTTTTAAATAAATACGTTAATATACATACATACATACATTTTACGATAAAGCAAAAGAAGGGGAGTATTTGTTACTACTTGTACATATGTAATGTCATCCAAAGTAACATAAATTTATTAATGGATTATTTTTAAGACAAAAGATAAGGTAAAGTTATAGTAATAGCTTTTTTTAAATAATGTAGTTTATTTTAACTAAAACGCTTAAATACTACCAAAAATTTACCATAGGGCTTTAATATACTGCAAAAGTTTAATCTGGTTAAAACAAATATGCATACATATAAATATTTTTTCTTAATTTGACCATTTATTTACTTTCGTTTTTGGTTTATTTATTTGGTTAGAATAGGATTATTAGTTTCGCATTCAGTTTTTGTATCCTATATCAAATAAAAGTATTTTAGTAAACATAGGGCCGTTTTCTAAGGTTTTAAATTTTATATGGCCTTTAAACACATTTTTTCAGAACAGAATCTGTGTTTAAAGGGTAGGTAAATTTTAAACCCTGCTTTAGAAAACGGTCCTCAAACTTTTTATTAAAAATTGCAGCCTGTCATTTTATCGCCTCAACCATAAAACAGTGCATATGTAAATGCGCAGATCTTTATATCTATGCCGAATTGTCATATAAAAAAGCATATATGTATTTAGTATCAGGCAAGGTTCCGCAATTGATTCCCGAGTGAATTCAAACAAAGTCACTGTGAATTCAAATTTTATGGTGTTCAAATTCCCACAGAAGTGAATTGCAGAACCTGCCTGAGTATGTATATGTATGTTCTATATAAAATAATTCCAAAAAAATTTCAACCTTCATTTAAAATAAAATTAAGTCTTCTGTAATCTTGAAAACGTAATATTTATACCATTCCCCAACAGGAGAAACCCATCGAATACAATCACATCAACAACAAGATGACTTTTCAGGTTCTGCCATAACCAAATTAAAATCTAAACTATTTGGTCTGGCAAATCCAGTTTTTATACCATCCCAACCATCTTCGACTTTGTATTCGCCTGATCGTATTCGTGCATACACCTCCTGTGTCACCATACGAAAGGCTTCTTCCACGTTAACGCCATTTCTGGCTGAAGTCTCAACAAAATGTAGGCCATGTTGCTTTGCAAAAGCCTGTGCCTCATCAGTGCCTACTTCACGCCGGCCGCCTGCGTTAACAAGATCTAGCTTGCAACCAACTAACGCAAAAACAGGTCGATGTGGTTCAATGTGACGTTGAGCCTCCATCATCCAAAGCGGAATATGTTCAAAGCTAGCATAGTTAGTGATGTCATATACTAACAATACTCCAACAGAGTTTCGATAGTACGATTTGGTAATGGATCGAAAGCGTTCCTGGCCAGCCGTATCCCATAGTTGGAGCTTTATCTGCGTACCATCCTTCATTTCTATTAAGCGGGCAAAAAAATCCACTCCTACGGTAGGGTCCGATAGCTGCAAGATAGACAATGAAAACAGCATAAATACATATAAATATTTATATATACATATGTATGTATGTATGTATGCAATATACAGAAAAAGTGAACAATGGGGAAACACAATAATTAAAAATTATAGGAGCAACTTCACATACTTATACATATATGCATGCATGCATAAGTACATATTGCATATGGCTTATCAGCCCAGTAGGTTCAATTATTCTGCGCTATCATTAACCATGTAATAATTTCTCGCATCATTGTCTCTGATTAAATTATGTAAGTTACATGTTTTTTTGTTTTTGCGCTTTTAGTTTATTTTTATTGTTATGGAAGGACAATTACCTCTGCAAATTTGCCATCTGTAAAAAATTTGAGGAGCGAACTCTTGCCCACCGTACTGTCGCCAATAAGAATTAGACGAAATTGATAGTCGAAAATGGGTTCAACCATCTTGAAGCTTTTCCAACGATGCGTGTAATAAACTGCCCCTTGTACTAAAATCTAACCGAGTGCAATTTTCCCACCCTTTATTCGAGAAACGGGTGTATACTTTTCTTAGTCACTTCCAGGGATACTCGTTTGCTTTAATTCACCTCCACATGGGTCGCAATATGATTTAATGAATTTAATCTTTCTCAATATTGTTTCTATATAATTGTGATTAGTTTATTGTATATTCCGCTGGCTTTGACTGGATTTTTAAAGTTCCAGTTTATTAAGAACAATACTACGTCGCAGAACAAATGACTTTCTCGGGTGTTTTATTTTGTAGAACTAGCACTTTGTTTATAAAATTTAGAGAAAATTATTTTTGTTTTGTTACTCATTTCGTCGTTTTCACATAGAACGTAAAATTTAATTTACGTTCTCTGATATTCCTTTTGATTAATCGATCATTAATCGAGAAATATGAAATGGGAAAAATCACAAAAAATGTCTGCTTGACCCAAGGCGAATTTATACCTATGATGGAAAAGTAGGCACAATAGTACCATTTTTGGTACTTTCATTTACAAGTGCACTTTTGGCATAATTCATTCAGTTTTGGTACAATCATAAATTATAGAAATTTAGCCAGTATATAACAAACAATCATATTACTCATAGATTCGAAAAGTGAAAATTAAAATCACTTAAAAATTAAAATAAGGGTCATTAAATAAAATTTATAATAATTATTCAATGTAAAGAATAGTCAAAACAGGTCAAAATGTCGAACTGCTATTATTTCGCACATAGGTATGTATGTATATGTGTAAACAGGTCGGAGAAGTTATAATTCACTGTTTTCACCCTTCTTCATTGGGATATTGTGTTTTTTTACTATGATTTTACTCTACTAATTCAATGAAGTACATTAAAAAATACTATCTCCAAAAATACATATGTGGTTCTAAAAAAGGCGAAATTAGACAAGGTGGGTAGATAAACAAGGCGAATTCATATTACAACAAACACACTATTTTGACATTAATAACTACCGCGGCGCAAATCTAAATTCGTCAGTAACAACGCCTTGTATAAATTCGCATTGATTTTTGCAGTCCATTAGGCACATTTTGAAATTTTGGAATTCCATCCCTGATTTATACATTAAATTCGCCTTGGGCTTGACATTTAAGTGGAACGTGGAACAGCTAATGTCAGAAGACGTTGATAATTGAAGAAGAAGAATATAAACAAACACATGTGATTTAGGGAATGCAACTATTAATTGTAAAAAATGGCACGTAAAAGAAAAATTCCTGCTCGTAAGCATCATGGAGTCCGTGATCCACTTAAGCAACTGGAAGCGAAGGAGAAAAGGTATTCTTATTACAAATTTTACAAGATATTTCATATGATATACAACATATGTATGTTTGCAGACTGAGTAAAGTTACAAACAATCCTCCAGAACACGACAGTCAGCAAGTATCATTTAAATTCGCACAATTTAAGAAATTGGTGGATGACACAAAAGCTGGAAAGAAAATCAAACGTATACACAAAGGTCGGGAAGATAGACCCAAAAATAATGCAACAAATTCAAAAAAAATCACGTACATACAAAAGTTAAGAGATGAAACCGATGAAGATTACTTAAAGCGGGTAAACCGAGTAACCACCCAGTCTTTGCGGGAAGCGCAGTACGAAGCCAAATATGGGGTCAATGTTGTTAGGAATCCTAAAACCGGAGAAATTTCTATTACAAAAAAGCCGAAAAATGAAATCGATGAACTTTTGAAAGAAAAACAAAAGAGTCGAGGCAAGAGAAAAAATGCAAAAAACACAACATTAAAACCTTTGAATCCCGAGCTTGCGAAAGAATTAATTAAACAGGCCATTAAGGAAGATAAGGAAGAGGTATTTTTCTTCTAACGCAAGGAAGAATTGAGAATTAATTTCATGTTTATTGCAGAAAGCAAAAGCGAATATGGATATAGAAGAATACAAGCAAGACGTTTTCCGATTTGGGGAAGTGGTACACGCACCTCCCTCGCTTTTAACATTGCCTCGAAAGGCACAAAAGTTCGACACCGTACCCAGAGTAGGGAAACTTTTTTTAGTTTGTTTAGTACATATGTATGTATGTATGTGTTCACTTTTTATCTTTCAGCCTGGTAAAAAGTCGAATTTGTTGTTGAAATCGCTGCTACCAGATAACAGAGTCGATAACGAAAAAGAGTTGAAGGTACCCAAAGTTGCTGAGGGTAAAGTGGAGAAACCTGCACTGAGTGGTAAACGGAAGAAACTCCCACTAGCTACAAGAAAAATGCTCGAAGATGAGCAAGGAAAACTGATTGAAATGTACAGAGCCATGAAGAAAACAAAAGCTAAAAAGTCATGACGTACGTTATAATTTTTATTTTTAAACTAAAAATAAAAAAAAAAAACTTCAATTGAAATCATGCTGTACATTTAATTAATTGTCCGTCTATAAATGGCCATGATTGCACAAAGTTTGCCATGTTAAAATTTGTTTATTTCATTGGCGGTTTGTGTCTAGCTGCAGATCATCGTTTGGGGGGTTGAACAGCCGTTTCTAGAGTTTGAAGAAATCCAGCAGGTTTATTATTATTTTATAGCATTTGGTACTTAGTAGTTTTCTGAGTTGTTTCTTTGTTCTTTTCTCTAAAGTTCAAAGCCATTCACTTTTACTACAGGCCTCCGGAACGTTTTTGAAGCAATTGAGCGAAGCGCTGCGTAACCAGCAACGATGTGTCAATGAAGCGATCAACGCAATTGCTTAAACAAGTTTCTGTGGAACTGTCAAGTTTTGAACCTGGCTTTCCGATACACTTCTCCCAGCAGATATCATTGAACTCGTGTATCTATAAAAATAATATTTACGAATTTCTTGTAATACGTCACAGGTTAAAAGGGTTAATATCAACGAACCTGCGCGTTCACTTGTGCCTTTTGCTTTTCTATCATCAAGAATTCTTGCAATTCTTTGTCGGTGGAAACTGACGAAAGCGAGTCAAAATCTGACATATTGAATATTTTAATTTAAAAGTTATTAAAAAAGGAACTGCCGTAGTTGCTATAGTTCCTTTGCCAGTTGCTAAATCAAAAATTTATATAACCTCAATCACACTACGTTCCACAAACAAAACGGCCAGACTTTTAAGATATTTCTAATTGGATTGAATAAAGTGTTGGTATCTCACTACTTTGACTGCTGAATTAAAAAATAGTACTAAAACATTAAAGGTGTTCTTACACGATATGTATTTGCATCTGTAAATGCGACTTTTTCAATACATACGTAATTGCGTATGTCTGTCAAATTCAAAGTCTTTATTTAACTATTTAAAAATACGTTCTTTGAAAATGAAATAATCTAAACTCACGATGCTTCTATCTGTGTGTCAGATGAAAATGTTAATTTTTTGCCCGAGCTTTTCCTCCAATGTGTGGCGTGCGTCTGGAAAAAATTAATTTACGTTCTTTGGTCATATATGTTGTAGAAGTTTTATTACGTTGAAACTTGAAACCTTTTTCTGGCACGGCACTATGAAATACCCTTTATAATAATGTGACATCAAGAGCCTGACAGACGTGGCAATGCAATATATTTCGAAATTAATAAAATTTCAGAAAGCAGTTGCATGAGCAGTCACATCTTGCATTTAAAGTGTCTTTCGAAAGAAGTTTTTTTATTTCCGAAAGGCGAATTGCAGATTGCTAATGCAGCACGTGCAAGTTGAAATACATTTCCGAAATCGATTTGCGCTTTCTCAATTGCAGACCCACCTTGCATCTTTTATTTTTGAAACTGATTTCCGAAATGTCAACTTGACAGCGAATTGCGTGGAAAAATTGGAAATATTGCCACGTCTGACGAGCTCTTTACAGTTGGCCAGCTGTTTATGTTACTACCGAATAAAGCAAACTAAAAACATTCAATAGCCAAAAGAATTCACTGGTTGTTCTGTATGGAAATTAAATTTAATTTATTAATATCGCACAAACTATAGATTATAAGTATAATAGTGGCTGGGCTACAACTTTGTGTCCAAAGGCGAAACAATTCTATAATGATTAGCAAGTAGTGTTCAAGCCATAGTATCAAATATCAATCATCAAAATGAAAGAACAAAAATTATTGCTAATACTTTCGCAGTCGCTAATTGGTGAGTAAATTTATTCTTGACCATGCAAATGTGTGCTATTCCAGGGGACAATTATTTTGGGGAATGTAAAGAAAGAGTTCATTATATTTGTAAAATTACGTAAATTATTTTACTAATATTTCTCATTTAACAGGCACCGGCTTTTTCTTTTTATACGTACAACATGTGCGTTCAATATTTGAAGCCCGTACCAACATAGCACATTTAACACAATTAGAAAGAGAATCATTACTACGTCGAGAGGATTCATTGTATTATTCATTTTATAAGACCCTCACAGAAGAAGCCGATTTCTGGAGTGGCTACAATAAACTAAAAAATGTGACTGGTATTGAATACCCACAAAGTGTAAATGTACTGGAGCGATTCCATGTGCTCCCCGAACTCATGATCGGGTATGTAAGCTTTGGATAGTCATCGCTATATTTTTCAAAAATTTTAATTTTAGGTACCTATATCACCTGCTTAGGCGTTACACATTCAACGAAAACTTTCCGATTTTTAGCTGTTGGCGTAGCAATGACATTCGATTGCCATTGGAGCATCGACACTGTGATGGCTTCGGGCAACCAATGCAATTTTATTTGGAATGTGTCTGGCTTCTGGGGGGATTAACTGTTCTAGTCATTTACATATATGGAACATTACTAAGGTGAAATAGCTACCAAAATAATATGAAATCGACATTTAATTAAAACACTCCTGCTTTCAGCGAAAATATCTTTGGAGGAATTTACGCAGTGGTATCGTACATTATGTTTCACAGTTTCGCGTCAAAAATTTACGATTCACCCGTAGCCCGTGAAAACTTTGCATTTCCAATTATTTTCATGCAAATATTTTACCTTTGCTTATGTATTGATCGTGTGACAGAACGGAAGGAAAATCACATGCGAGTTTTTATTGTAAGATATATACATATCTGTGGCCTAAAGCTATACCCTCTTAAGCTGATTTAAGTAATAATTTTGTTGTATATACGTACAAACATATCAGTATACTCTGTTTCTGGGGTACTTTTGCAAATGAGTCGTTTTCAAGCCGAAAACTGTATACTTGGAATTTTCTAAAAATTATAAGTGAGTTTTCTTTTAGTTTCTTTACAACCTTTGAAATCTGGATATTTAACTAGGCTTTAATAAAAAATTAACAACCATTTAAACAAACCAAAGGAAAATAGTCAAAACTGGTCAAGATGTCGTGTCCCTATTTTTATTTTACATAACAGTGTAACTGTGTATTAAAAACTAGTTAGCATTTAAAATGAAGTAGTTTAGAAAAACGGCAGTATCCATTTTTGGAGTAAAAAAAAGAAATATCTTCCAAAAATAGATACGAGCGTTAAGTATGCATGTCCAAAATTTACCGATCGCTTGACTATATATTTATGGCCTTATAAAAAATAAAATAGGCTTAAAGAGCTTTATAAAGTGACATTTTAGATTTATAAAGCCGTTACAGTCTTCTTTATTTTTTATGAATTTGGGGGGTTAAAGTATAAAAACAATCATAATTTTTTTAAGCCTAGGCCGATAAACTTTAGTAGATTGTATTTTGCAATAACTATTTTCCTTAGTTTTTGACTAAGAGTTCGAATAAATTTTTGTTAATGTACTTCTGAATTTCCGCTATAAGAGCGTTTTTTTTTAGTTTTTCTCGAATGTATGCTCCTGTTGCAACAGCATTCTAATTCCCCATAGGGTTATTGGGAATGATGCTGGAATTACAGTCTTTGGCCTGAAAAATATTTGGTTATTGTTTTTTACCACAGATACCTAAACACATCGAGCATATAACTAGATGCAATAGTTAAATTAGTAATTTTAGTTGAAAACATATACATATGTATGTACATATACGAAAATGAATATATATATATATATATATATATCTTTATTTATTTAATTCACAGACCATCAAACTGGCGGGGCTAACTGCGCTCGCTCTTCTGTGTTGGCAGTTTTCATCCGTTATATTTGCAACGCAAGTTCTCATTATGATGATGCCTTGGTCATTAAGTCCAGTTTCTGAGGTTGTTTCCAGCACCTTCAGCATCGACTATGCGACCTCTCAACTCATTGCTACCGTAGTAGCATATTATTGTTCATTCTGCAACAAAAAATATATTTTCGCCTGGCAAATTGGGCCGGCAATTGGTCTTTTGTTTATTAGCATCGGACGAAGGCTAAAACCTCAGTCACCAAATAGCAACTTTTCACTAAAATCCATATGGCCTGGCTTGCTGATGGCATTCAGTGCGCAAGGCACCCTAATTGATTTGTTGGAAAAAACGGGAATGGCTCGCTCTGTAGACAATGGATTTGCCTTGTACCGTGATTTAGTGGTGCATTGGTGTTTGCAGGCAAAGGTTAATTTTACTACCAGTCTTGCGGCATGCAATCCAGCTTACCAGCGTTTAAATTTTGCTGACTTATGGGAGCTTATTAAAACCCTTATTGTAAAACCGTATTGTATGTATGGTGTGGTGATGTTAGCAAAGTTCTTTCGCAAGTGGCGCAAGAGCAGCGAAAACAAGACGCCTAGCAAGGATAACGTAGAACGAGCTAAAAAATATATATTAGAAGATTTTTTGGAAGAAAATCACATTTCTATGCGAGATATGTCAAATAAAGAGACTGAAAATGATTTGAATGAATGCTTAAAGTTATTGGAGGATTGTGACTACGATTATGAGCGATATAAAGTAGAAAAGGCAAAAATTAAAAGCAGCAAAATAGATGAGCATGCGGAGTTTATGAACAACATCAAGTTACTAAAAGAGCAGATAAAAGAGCGAAACCAGCAAAAGGAAAAGGAGAATCTGCAAACTATGTATTTAAATAATACAGAAAACTTAGATAAGCAACAAGAGAAGATTACTGAAGACAATAAACCTCCGTCCAAACACGATGATGTGGCAACGGAAGATAACGTTCATGAAGCACCGAGAGCACCAAAAGTCTGTGAAGATCATGCATCAACTGCCGCTAAGGAGGCAAACGATGCAGCTGGGAGTGACAAAGCTACTAGGGATACGAAGAGTTCTCGCCGGCCACGTTCTAAGACATCAGACTTCAGTGCTGCCAGGACTGATTACCAAAGCGATATTTTCAGCTTTCACTATCTCTACAGCTTTATACAAATGATTGTTTTTACCGCACTCGGCCTTAGTATTAGAAAATTATTCTTCCTATCCTTCACGCAAGGTTGTGTTATTGCACCTACAATATGCTCCAAGTTTTGGTATCGTAAACAACGCAATATATTTTGGACAGTGTCGTTGGCAGTTTTTTTAACTAGTATGGTGAATCCTGGTTTAGTGGTGAGTAATCATTTTATAATTCGTAGATGTTGCAACAGTCTATTGTCCCCAAATCGGGTAGGATTTAGTGGCTGTTACCGTATCTATTTACCCATATCAAATATATCTTAATTGGATAATATTGTAGTTTCATTTTTTATATGCATGCATATATTCATGCTTAATCAAAAAAAAAAAAACGAATTGGTAATTACATACGTAATTATGTTCAGGGCTATCGTTCAATCCATCGTAGTCCAATTTTCGTGAAACCTACGAAAATACGATCACTGAATCTAAATTGCTACGAACGTATGCATTAAAAATACATATATGCTACGTTCGTAACTATTCGGATTCAGTGAAGGCATGCTCGTAGATTTCATGAAAAAATCGGACTACGATGGATTCAGTTATAGCCCAGTGATTTATACGCCTTACAGAACATACGTGAAGAGTACTTTCCCACCCGGCAAGGAAATACTAATGATGATTTGGACAGTATGTTGGAGTGGATCAAGATGAACACCGAACGTGATGCTGTGTTTGCAGGTATCATTTAATAATGCACCTAATATTGATTTTGTATCATGCTTTCATTTATGTTGCTCAAATATATAGTTTAATTAATGTTTCTAATTCTCTGTAGGTCCAGTAGACATTATTGGTACGGTGCATTTAGTGACTAGACGCCCAATTGTAAACCATGCGCATTTGGAAATGAAGCACATCAAGTAATTTAAAAATATACATTACAAACTCGATTAACAAAATCAATTGCTACTCTAGATATCTACGTACACACACACTTGTGATCATGAAAAAAAACATAAAGAATCTTCATCTAAAGTGATAAAGGCATAAATTGCTTAAATTTATCCTAGACGGTTGAGTTTTGCTGAAATTTATACTCTTATCTGCCAAAATCGTTTGATAAACTGATCAAATTTGGTTAAATAGAGTCTATGTTTTTATCATGGTCTATACAAAGTTTGACAGTTCATTTATCAAAATGATAAATTTATCATTTTAACAAGTTTATCAACAGTTTATCACTTCTGATGAAGACCCCTATAATGTTTTTATCCATGTTTGTGATAAAGTTATTTGACATTTTGACCAGTTTTGCCTTTTTTCTTTTGTTTATTTAATGTTTATAATTTTTTTTTTACAAGTCTAGCACTTAACATAACCAGGGCAAAATTATACAAATTCAACAATTTTTAAAATTTTTATTCAGAATTTTAGGTATGCACTTTTATAGCCCATTAAATTTTAGTAGGTCTAAAGGCGCTGAAAAATCGCGTTGATTTTTAATATTTTTTTTTGCTGACGTTGGTGGCATTTTCTTCTATACGTTGTATCTGGAGTTTCGCAAGGGTCACACCTTGGCCCAGCTTCAGCTCTGAATACTTATTATATACAGACAATCTGAAAATAGAGAAATTAGAAAGGAACAGGACAAATACGCTCTGCAGAATAATATATACACATGGGAGACCTGGTGCAAAATGAACAAGATATACTTAAATGTCAAAAAATGTGCAGTGATCGCCTTCTCGCGATCTCATAACCAATCACCACCTGTATATCAATTAGGTGGACAGCATATTCAAGTAGTAGAAACAATAAAGGACCTTGGAGTAATCGTCGACAACAAATTAACTTTCAGCGAATATATTAGTTATATAAACCTTCGAGCATATAGAGCACTTGGATTCGTATTTAGAACCGGCAACGCATTTAGAAATGTTAACACACTTATTCGACTTTTCTCCGCGATTGTTAAGCCCATCCTAGAATACGGGTCGGTGATATGGTTCCTCTACACGCAGCAACAAATTAACAGCATAGAAAGAATACAACGTAAATTTTGTAAATTAATGCTTTACGATAATTTGCCATCCGCCCATAGTAAAACCATGGAAACCAAGAGTGAAAAGTGAACTGGTTCGGGGAACATGAAACTCATGATAATGCTGTATGACTACAGCCAATTCAATGCCTTTAAACGAAACAAAGACAAGTGACTGATCTGACCTTCTTCTATGAAGTTGTTAATGGTGTAATTGATTCTCCGGAAATTCTAGCTGACACTAGTTGCATTTGCTCAAGGAAAGAACTAAGAACGACGAGGCTTTTGGCTGTGGAAAAATCCACTAAAAACTACGTCTTCTCCAAAAAATCACTAACAACTACTCGTCGAAAATCAACTTCCTCGGAGCCTCGTACTCTTCATTTCTTGCCGGCATCAAAAAATTTGTATTGCAATTATGTACATTTAATTATTTAGTAATTCCATCACTCATTGAAATAATCAGACTTTGGTAATAATATGTATCCGTCTTATGTGTTTCTTCTCTTTAATTATGTATTTTTAACAAATTTTAAAATACCAATTGTAATTGTCGAGCAAACAAGTAATTGTCGAGCATACTTTATATGGCAGGAAATGCGCAACACCGTCAGCAAAAAAAAAAATTATTAAAAATCAGCGCCATTTCCTAACGTCTTGAAATTTTAACATTAGGAAGGAGGTAATTGCTTATAATACGTACAAGCAAATCAAGGTAGAAAAGCAAAAAGTAAGAAACTAACCTTGCCGATCACCCCATTTAAAAATTTTTGCAACATATCTGGTCTCTTAACTGCAGTTAAGCTTTTGGTGGAAATGGGCTATTAGGCGGTTACTGAACCAATCAAGAAACAGAATAGTTAAATAGTATGTTCGAAAAAATATTACGAAATAAAAGGGATGCAAGTTGAGTTGATGAAACAGCATCAGGATTGATTTAAAAAAATCAAGATTTGAAGTGCAAGGCGCAAATCTTGGATGATGCAGTCAGTTGAACGCCACGCATTTATCGATGCCCTTTTCTGTGTCTGGAATTTTTATGAAACTTTTTGTTTGTTGCTCTTTATTTTCTAAAACAATTTATTTTTATTTTACAACTGTGTACTCAAAAAAATTGTAGAGCTTCTGAGAAAAAAGTTTGAAATAAGGAGATGAAAATTTGTTGCACTTTTTGCGGTCTTTTAAAAAGTTTTAAACTTGAGTTTATATGAGTTTTGTTACAGCCAATTTCACGAAAGCAATTTAAGTGAAAAATTATTTTAATTTTTGGAATTTTATATGGAATTGGACAGAAAATGAAATATAATTTTCCATTTAAAGTGCTGGTGAAACCGGCTGTTAGAGAATGAACTGTATTTTAATTGAAAATTCTTAAAAATAAATAATTAAATATAAGTGGCAAACAATATCGCCTTGAATTGGGGGTGCTATAGATATACTGTATGTATTGTGATGCTAACATAATATGTATGTATTGATTTGGAGTTTTTTTTAAAGGTTTATACTAACCATTCCGATTGTCATTGCGTTTCATTTTTTTTTTCATTTCATTTCATTTATTAATAAAATCATTAGCACAATAAGATCAAAAGAATGATCTTTTATAGCGCAACAAAAAATTCATAACAGCACATACATATAACTAAAACAGCAAAAAGTGTATACCTTTTGTAACCTTCTGTACCCTGATATTATTCTTGTATATTCCAGCGAACGTACCGAACATGTCTATACGGTGTTCAGCCGCCAACAATCATCCGATGTTTACAATCAATGCTCACAACTGAAAGTACAATACTTGATTATATCCATTCAAGACTGCAGCAATGAAATTCGGTGTGTAATATTAAATATATGTACACATATTTAGATACAGATGTATTATCAAGCGGCGTAGCCAAGGCAGGGGCTCGGGAAAGATTCCCCCTTGATCAATGATTTTATTTTTTTTATATTTAACAGCAGTTTTATTATTTTGTCTTTTCGACTAATCACATAATACAACAGAGACCTCTGCAATTTTTGATTTTAAGGTTATGTTTAGGAATTAACATAATTTTTAGGGTCAAAAAGAATGCTCACAAAAGTTAAGATTTTCCTTTTAACAATTTTAAAAATATTTTCTTGCGTCCCTCTGGCCATCGTGTGCTGTTTTTAAAGCGCACCGTGCCCAAAATCAACGCTACGCCACTGATTGTATCAATGCTGTAAGATAATTTAAAATTTTTTAAGTAGTTTAACATTTTTATTCTTTTAGTGACGAATGCGACGTACTTTCCATCTGGGATGATCTGCAGCCGTCATATCGCAAGTATCCACAGTTTTGTTCCGAATTAGTAAACAAAAACATACCGAGTTTCTTGAAAGTATTCTCAAATGATTACTATGGTATTATTAAGATGTTTTCTCAGAGTGTACAGATCAATTTAAAGCACAGTAAGATGCCCGAAAAAGTTATGTAGCTATGTTGTCCAATGTGTTGTTTCGAATGTCAGTGAAGCAATTGTAAGCAATCGGTTAAAAATGGGAAAGGTCAATTAAGTTATAATTTTTTTATAAAGCTAGTTACTCTAATAGTTTATATTTATTATCATTTTGACGTGAGACTTTTTAAGCCTTCAAATATTTATATTAACGAAATGAAAAGTAAATAATACCTAGATGTGGTTATGTAAATAACTATAACATTGAGAAAAATAAACAACCGGATCTGATTGAATGAAAGTGAGTGACTACATAAAAACAGGATAGTAGTACCCCGTTTCAAATTACTAATAATGCTGACTAAAACTTTTTTGAAATCAAATAAAAGAACATAGAAAACGTAAGATGCTGGGCTGGGCGGTAACGTTTGTGTAGCAAAATTTGACTATGTTGTTTAGCCACTGAATTTGATTTTCGAGGTAAAGTAATATACTTAAATAGAGAAACAAAACACACTTTGCATGCTCTTTGTAAAAAGCTTAGAAAACAAAGTCGAAAGTTTAGGCTGTTTAAGCAGTTCAATTAAATTAAATTAAATTAATTTAGTTTTTGCGGGGCGAAACATGAATGGTCGGGTCTGTTCCTATACAGTAGATTTGTGTTTGTTTTCTATGTTCTTTGGTTAGGTTTAAATATTAAAGACAGAAACACACATGCATACATATGTATGTACATATCGAGGGCTTATATTCAATATGGTCTATCTACAGTTTCCTCAAAAACTATATTCCCATACAAAAATCCACTTTAGACCTAACTGTCATCGATGATGTTAATGCTGGCCTTGTATATCGCTCATCAGAAAAATTAGCTATTGAATTTCGAAATTAAAATTGCAATCAGTCTAATAATTAAGTCTCAGATAGGTTCTAACATCAGAAAGTAGTTTTTGTGTAAACTGCAGATGGGTCGTATTGAATATATGTAAGCCCTCGAAATGTACATACATTAGGGCGGGTCAATTTGTATGGGAGTTTTATTATCTTTTTCTTAAAACGTGCCCCAGAGGGTGCAAAAGTAAAAATTTTCACATTTTCTTCGAAACCTATTTTTGCAATTTTACCAATTTGCTTGGAATTATACGTAGAATCCTCCCATGCTATACGCGCATAGTAAAAAAAATGGCTCTCCCTAACATATGTATGTACATGTTTTTGAAGTTGTTGTGTAGTAAATTTAGCATTGCAGAAAGAGATGTGGCATTGAAAATGCATGTTTCGATTCACAATAACAGCCGTATTCTTCTTGCTTAACTATTTGTACATTAAGCAAATGCAGCCTATTCTGCATTTTCATTAACAGACTGCCCTCTTGCATTCCAATTCAGGCTTGAGATTATAGTTTGGCGAAAATATGATAGTTTAACAGCCAATTTCACGAAAGCAATTCCAGTGAAAAATTATTTTAATTTTTTGAATTTTATGATTGAAATTGACAGAAAATAATAAACCATTTTCAACTTAAATTGCTGGTGAAACCGGCTGTAAAATCTAAACAATTAAACAAAAGTTGTGGTAGTGTGAGATAAATACATACTTATATGTATTATTATATTATAAGGCATTTTTGCAATAATAAACTGCTATTTCGACCGAAAAAATAAGTCAGATTTAACTTTTATAATTGACCGAAAAAATAAAATTAAATTTTTAACTTTTATTTTTGACCGAAAAAATCGACTACTTGTACATATTTCTTGTTTACTTTTAATGAGCTCACAAGCACTGCGAAAAATATTAATTCTGAGAAATTAGCTGGCTTATTTGAGGTCATACATATTTTGGACTTGTCATTTGTAATAAAAACACAATGCCGAAGTGACAACTTTTAAATGAAATACCATACTTTTTATAAATATCCTTTTTATTGAGGTTTTTATTCTTTGCATTTTTATACACTTTGGAAAGGTTTGAATTCATTTTATAGATGAACTATAAGTGAAATAAACGATTGAATTGGAACGATTGCGAGCAGATTGGCACACAAAATTATACATTGGAATATTATTCATTTTATGTAAAACGTTGGGTATCGCACAGTGTTCCTCTTAGCGTAATGAAGCATAGTGAAACATAAATGTACAGAAAAAATGTCAAAACTCTGGAAATTGTAATGATTTTTTTTTTTTGGTGGCCAATTCTTTTCTAATACGTTCGCTCGCTGAGAATGTAAAACTTACGTCCTTTTGCTCATTCAATTTTTTTAAGGGTTAACATTTTATGGTCGAAAATCCAATTTAATATGTGTAATTTTAAGAATAAAAAGTCTTATAGACATAATTCTTGTATTAGGGGACATTTAGAAAATTTAGCAACGTATTTGGAAAACTTGGCAATTAAAGGGTTGAAATTTGCACAAAAGTGTTGAGAAGCAAAATTGCGGGTTTAACAGTCAATCAAGTGAGAAGTAACTATTTTGCTGAGTAAGAAAAAACGTTGACCACCCTAGTTTTTAAGTTTGAGCCCGCATATCGACGCCTACAAACCACTACCATGCTATGTCAACTTGGACTTACGTCAGGCATAGCATAGCATGATTTGGAGGCGTCGATATACAGTTCTATACAAACAAGTATTCTTTGTGACTAGATTTAAAGTATTCAAAAATAATTGACAACCATGCAAAACAGTTAGATTACAAATTTTCGACCCTTATTTGACTGCACTTAATACTATTAAGTACATTTGAACATGAAGAAACTTTGTTGAAACACGTAGTGTAACTATTTTGTTTAGTTTTTAAGTAAAATATATGTAAGTAAATGAACTAATTGCCAATAAATACGATCCTCTGCAAGTTTTAAATACAGAATCCAATGTTTATCACACTTGAACACTTTCAAATTTTTAGTGCGGGTGTATTTTAACATGTTCTACCGAAATTTGTGAAAACGCAGCTTCGAAAATTGTTAGTTAGAGCCTTTGTGAATTAAAAGCATTGTATCATTATTTTATGATTTGCATCTTTTTTCGCTTAAAAATAATACGTATTATTGAGTTTTATTTTTTCGCTCAACGAAAAAATAATTATTAGTTGATTTTTATGTTTTCGATCACAAATAATGATTATTTTTTTTAACTTTTATTATTATACTAGCAGACCCGGCGAACTGCGTCCCGTCGTTCCCACGACAGTCGGGTCTACGTAACCGGAACGACCCAGATTTATATCTGGCCAAGGACTGTCACTCCAGCAACACTCCCCAAAAAGTCTTTGGGGAATTTGTATGCTGCTACAACAACAACAACTGCGTCCCGTCCAAAATTAATTTATTTATTGAAACATTTGGTCGACCGTTTTCGCCATCAATTCACGTTCACGTTTGGTTTTGTGGTCGACAGAAAGCATATCCTCCATTGCCGTCTGCTACCACCAGCGGATTCTGAGTTGAATACTTACAGAGCTGGAGCGTCGGCCCGTAAATCTTCCGCAAAATCAGACTTCGCGGTTTTTGTTACCGACGATGTCGATGTCATCGGCATAAGCCAGCAATTGCACGCTGTTGTAGTAAATTGTTCCTGAATGGTTCAGTTCTTTTCTTCATATAATTAGCGTAGGTAACACAGGGCAACACCGATTTTATTGCGGCAAATGTTAAAGATGTTTTTGATAGACATTTTTTTGCTGATTACGAATGCGTAAGTTTCCATCAGCTCCAGATTTTGCGAAAAACGTGGTGAAAGTGTCAAAAAATTGCGTTTTTTGCAATATTTTAGAACCTCTTGCAAGGAAACTAATGGCGATAGGACCTTCCACTGAGACTTAAATTAAAGTTACAATTATAGACTACTATCCCTGAAAATACCATTCCTGCGCCTTGGCCTGATGGTCACCTATACTCATTTACGTTTTATCGTCCAACAATAAAAAAAATACTGGAAAATTATGAAATAAAAATTAAAAAATTTTAAAAATCAGTGTTAGCTGTTCAATAAATGACTTTTGACCTTAGGGTCAAGGTGCAGGAATGGTATTTTCAGGGATTGAAGTCAAGAGATCCAAGCCTTAATTTAAGCCTAAGTGGAAGGTTCTGCCACCTTTTGCTTCATTGCGGTAGGTACTCAAACTTCCCAAAATCAGTCTTGAAAGCAATTTTTTCGCATTCCCGTTTGTGTTTTCTATTTGCTTCCAGACGCGTCAACTTTTATTGAATTCAAGTTTATGGTTCTTTAAATGGGAAACAACGAAAGATCCAAAGAGACAAGAAAACTTCAAACGAATTGACGGTACGGAGGTATCTGTACTCTTCCCCTCTCTTCTCACCTCCTTTGCCTTAGAAGAGCAGACTTAAAAGCAAGACTTGACGTGTCTGAAAGCTGACTTTAACTGAAACAAAAAAAAATCATTGTAAATTACGATCTGTTATATTTTTCCAATCACGTTCACATACGCTTACGATGCCTATTTTCTTCGAAATTTTTATAGTCGAGGTTTTGACCAAACAGTTCTGTACGTCTACCTTCTACAATTCTACTTGACGCAGAAATAACTCTTCCACTAGTAGCTGAGCAGCTGGTATGTTTGAAATTTACCTTAAAAGGCTTCTAAGAAGTGGCAAATCTTAAGCTTTCTCCCGATTTCTCGCAGCCCTTCTTGTGTAGGCCTCTTACTTTACTTTACTTAAGAAGGCCTACCTAAATTATCTTCTAGGTATACAAGTGTTAAAAAGACCAATTCTTTCCGACATACTTATCTCGAGTTGTGCTTTTTTCAGTTTTGACACTATTGTAGTAAATGAGCGATTTTATCTAACCACCATGGTATTTCAACCTGGTATGTACTGTAGATACTGGCTAGAGAAAGGTTACAATTATTCGTACCATCCGCATGGGTGAAATCGGATTCGCAGTCATAACAAGCGAGTATGAAGGATTAGATACGTGCGAGGGGCATTCGTCGGACCGGAATAGGCAGGTATCGGACGGATGTCATTCGCATGGATCCTCTTTCAGCCGCTTGTTACGACAGTGCGAATCAGATAAGATCCGTGTGGATTGCATCAGTCGGATAGCCCTCATAAGGATGATTAACAACTAAAGAAGCCTTAAGGATCGAGAACGGAAAGCTTAACACCTCAAAAGGACTTATAGAAGAGCTTTTTAGTGCATTTGCGAATTGTTAAATAAATAAATTCATTTGAGAACTTGTAACATTTAACCATGGCACTACCGGATGACTGTCATGAAAAGCTCACAACATAAAAATGCCCGCGACTGTTTCTGATTAATTGCGATAAAGGAATGAACAACTCGAGCCAAAATAACACGTTCTAGAGAGAGGTTCATGCTACATATGGATATATGTTCTAAAAAATCGAATCGGACGATAGTTTAAGTCTTGCGTTATATTTTCGCCATTTGTTTACATTTTTTAGAACCAAGTTTTTAATTCACCGATCTTAATCTTTCCGAACTTTTGCTGCGCGTGGATCATCGGGGCGCATTACAACATATCCCAACTTATACCGCCGATTATCACCGTCTCTGGCATAGTATCCGGCCACACCGACAGCAGCCATTCCCAATCCTATGAGCGCCAATACTGATCCACCAACAATGTCGGGAATCTCGTTCCATGCTCGCTTAAGGAGGCCATGGGAATTACGCGCCGCTGAAGTAGACATTTTATAAAACTGGAAAGCAATCAGAAATGTATTTTTTTTTTTGTTTTTTCCAAAGATGCGTACCTACGGTTTTCAGGACAGGACCACCAACGTTACACAACACGAACAGATGAAAGGCCACCGAATAGTGATGTGTTGAATTGTCGGTACCCAATACTTGAAAAAAATTTCGGTACCCAATACCCAAGGCGAATTTATATGAGGTGGTGTTCAAGGCGAATTTAGATTACAACAACAATAACCTCATGTATTTGGATTGCGGATGTTATGTCAAATCTCAATTCGCCCCAAAGTTTACATGTATTTTGTTTTTGCTTTTGATGGGTGTGCTGTGAAATCAGTAAAAGCAAAAACAAAATACATGTAAGGCGAAGAAATCAGCTGGTTTTACAACACCACCTTGTATAAATTCGCCTTGGTTAATTGATTCATGAGCTTATATGACTGCCCAAGGCGTTGCCAAGGCGCATCAATTACATTCCTGTGAGCACGCCTGTATCAAATTATCGTCTGTTTTGCTTTGTTTACATATTCGTGTGTACATACACATATACGTAAATATATACCCTGCAAGCAAATGCTCCCGAAATGTTTAAGAGTATCGGAAATTTGTTACGATTCTGTTGACTCTTTAAAGAAAAACATATGAAGCGGCTGACAAGAACTACACCTTTTCCAACAGTATTTCAGAAACACACAAATGTATTTTAGAAAAGGCCAAATGAATTTCAGAAAAGGCCAAATTAATTTCAGAAAAACTCAAATTTCAGAAAACCTCAAATGTATTTCAGAAAAGGACAAATGTATTTCAGAAAAGCTCAAATATATATCAGAAAGAGCCAAAGGTATTTCAGAAAAAGCCAAATGAAATTCAGAAAAACACAATTGTATTTCAGAAAAGTTCAAATTATTTTCAGAAAAACGCAAATGTATTTCAGAAAAGGGCAAATGTATTTCAGAAAAGCACAAATGTATTTCAGAAAAATATTTTAGAATACAGTTATGCTTTTATTGTACCGTGATTTTGTGCATGTGTTTCGCCTCACGGCTTCGAATGTCCAATTGAAAAATTTTGTTTGGATTTCCACACACATCTTATAGATTGAGTTTACGCCGCCACAGCAAAAACAAAAGACATGGTGCAAACGGCCCTAAGGGCCAGCCAAATCCACTCAAATGGAGCTGAACGATTAGCTGTTCTAGGCAGAGCTACGTAACCGTTACAACAACCAAATTCTTCTTAATGCGCATTCCTGCATGTAAAAAAGTCAATTTTCATGATAAGTACAAAGTATACGTATGTATGTGTTTTATTATTCTGCATCAGTAGAAATTATTCTACGTAATTTTCTGTTTTCATATCGTTAAGACCCAATTCTTCATTTTGGTCAAAAGAACGTTCGTATCTTTCTATTTTTAATTTGCTATCCAGTTCGTCGCCATCTGCCAAAGATTGGACATAACTATTGCCAGCTGGATCGTCCAAGACTAAAGTTGCTTTTAAATTCAAAGCCAATATTTCATCGAATCTATCAATGACACCTTCCAACCGCTTCTTAATTTCATCATCAGCTGAATCGTGAAATAAACAGCCTTCATTCTGAAGTTGGTCTTTCATAGCCATTAAAATTCCTTCTATTGTTGTGAATCGTCCGCCGAGAGCTGATGGTCCCACTTCACACTCCAATTCAGGAATTTTAAGGCAGCAAGTTTCAGATTTTAACACGTCTCGAGTTAAATCCTCTTTATCTTCGACTCGAATTTCAAAACGTATACCCAACTCCTCAATACCACTACCAGATTTCACTTCGTTCGTTTTGCAACCGCACTCTTCGCATACGGTTGCCATTATCACAACTTCTTTAAAATGTGGAATTTTAGTGAGTTTCATATTCGTCTCACAGGATGAACCACATTGTGAACATAATGTTTGAAACTGTAAAACTTCGCCATGTAAATCATCAATACCCCAAGCATCTTCAGCAATGGGTTTAAGCAATTGATTTTCTTGGTCCTTTCTGGGCTCCTTTTTACCATCCTCATCGATACTGGCTACAGTTTTTGGAGAATAAAGGCCTAATTTAAAGAGTATATTTGTCAGAAAATTTGAATTTACACCGAAATACAAGGGATTACTTACCGAGAATATGATCTTGCTCTTTTAAGCGTTGAAAATAATGAATTTTACAGTTCGGGTCTGAAGATGGTGCCCGAGGATTCTCAACAAAACTGTTTCCGCTTATATCTTCCAAAATTAAAGTGAAATTATTTTGTAATTCCTTTAAAGCAGTCAATTTTTCAATATATGCGTCTATGGCTGTCGCATCGTCAGGATGTTCTCTTTTTCTAGATTCCTGATCTTGAGTTAGACCTCTTATTGTTCTATCAATTATTCCTTCCACGGTGGTTATTTCACCCTTCTGACTTTGAGACGGTATTTCTAGTTCAACCTCTGGTATTCTAACAGATGTGTAATCAGAGCGCACCACTTTTCTGTTTAAGTCTTCAGCGCATTTTACACTCAACTCTATACGCACACCTTTCTTCTGTATTTCAGATGCAGACTGGATCTCATTATTTTCATAGCCACAATCCTCGCATTTAAAAGACATTATTACCACCTCCTTGAAGAAGGGTATTTTAGTAAGCAGCAAACGTGTCCGGCCAGAGCGAAAACAATTCATACATGCTGACTCTAGTTCCGTGGTTTCTGGATCAGGATCGTCGGCATCAATATTTCTAAATAAAGGCTTTTTTTCACCTGCTGTTTCCATAACATTTTCTGTTGACATTTTTATTTTAAGGTATTTTACTTAGAAATGAACTGTATATACGTAAGGACAATTAGTAGTGGCAAACTGTCGATGGCACTATCGATACTATCGATGGTTATGGTTTTTTACTATCGTTACTTTTTCAAAACTATCGAGTATTTTGACTATGGAAAATTTAAGACACAAAAATGTTGAATGTGCATTTAATAAAGCGGCAATACTTTTATATAAAAGAATTATGGCTCAAGGCAAATTTATACAAGGTGGCGTCTTAATGTCAAAATCAAGGCGAATTTATACAAGGTGGTGTTGATGGCGAATTTAGATTTTCGCCGAGGTACGTCTTAATGTCAAAATGATGTGTTTGTTGTAAAATGAATTCGCCTTGTTTACAAGAAACACATCATTTTGACATTCAGTAGTACCGGGGCGAAAATTTAATTCGCCATCAACACCACCTTGTATAAATTCGCCTTGGTCAAAATGATGTGTTTGTTGTAAAATGAATTCGCCTTGTTTACAAGAAACACATCATTTTGACATTCAGTAGTACCGGGGCGAAAATTTAATTCGCCATCAACACCACCTTGTATAAATTCGCCTTGGTCAAAATGATGTGTTTGTTGTAAAGTGAATTCGCCTCGTTTACAACAAACACATCATTTTGACATTCAGTAGCACTGCATCTAAAATCATTGGGCCTCAGCACACTAGCCTGCTCAGTCGGACTGAGCAGTCCACCACTCGAACGCACACTGGGCTGGGCAGTCGGTCAAAAACAGGTTTCAGTTTTGTATACATGAACTACGCATGATTGTGTTAGTGCATGTGGCACATGCAAACAAAACGAAATAGAAAACATGTTCCCCCTTATACCATGATATCGCACTTGTTGACGTAAAAATATTTCATATCATACGTCAACAAAACCGATACCGATTCGAAAATTGTGGCAAATTGGTTATAGAATCTCCTTACAAAAATGATATCGTCCGATTCAGCTGGAACAAAAATGCTTCAAATAAGTACGAGCTTCTCTGTATTTTTTTTTTTTTTTTTNTTTTGATAGGCGAGTCTCCCCTGAACCGTGTTTTCCATATTTTTGGCCATTATCTCTTTTCTAAGGGAAGATCTACGATTTTGAAAAAATACTCGTGTTTTGCCTATAGTGGGGCGTGCATATCAAAACGCAAGCCGCGAATATTAGGTTAAGGCTTAAACTGCAGTTAATTCCCGAGTTAATCCAGATCAACGCTGCCGTGTGTTTCTGTTTTTAGCCTGTTCATTTTGACTACGAATTCGCCCCAATTAGATTTTTTACGTATTTCATTTGGTGTTGAAACAAAAGGGCAAAAAACGATTGAAATGTTAACACTGAATGGAATAAACAGCTGATTGCATATCACCGGTCAACCAGGTATATTTTGGAGGAAATGTAAGGCATTTATTAACCATATAAAATAATTGAAGTAAACTCAAAACAAATTGATAACCATTAAAAATTAGACTTTAAAGAAATGACGTCACTGAGGTTGCTTACCCGACTTGCGCAACAGCATCAGCGCCTACAGCTGGTAGTTCTGGGCGCAGCCAAGACGAGATCGAGGTCTTTGCTAAATTTGCCCGGCACAATACAGTGCATGTCACTAGCACCATTCGTAAGCAGTCGCCATTCATTTAGTACAAAGAAATCGCCGGATTTAGCAGGCAAAACCGACACAAAATCATCTCCCGTTCTAGCAGATGAAGACATTTTTGGTGAAGCCTCTAAGCTTGGCCTATTTGCCAAATTCAAATTGATGTATAAAAAATATTGGTATGTGCTTATACCTGTTCATGTTGTAACATCAATCGGTTGGTTTGGAGGTTTCTATTATTTGTCCAAAAGGTGATAGTGGAATTCAATATGTATTTTCAAATTTGTATTCTTTGACAATTTTCAATTTAGTGGCGTGGATATCCCCTTACTGTTACAACATTTACATGTTAGCGAGAGCATCGTGGAACGTTTTCAAAACTCAAGCATGGGCCATTATGCCATTGCTTATCTTTGCTATAAAGTAGCGACCCCTCTACGTTATGCAGTCACTTTAGGTAAGTAAATTAGTATGATGGAAGAATAAATTCGAAAAAAGTGCCATTTTTAGAGAGCACATTTATTAAAGAATTAAAGGCCCAGTTGCCCTCTAGTAGTCTGCTCTGCTTCATTATTAAGATGCGATGAATACTGATTTTAAAATATGGAAAGGCTTATATGTATAATAATCTGAGAGCCCTGTTGATCTACAATTGCGGGATTTCAAAATTAACTACCTACATACATATATACATACAAAAATATGTATAAAAATTTCGTAATACATTACCTAATTCTTTGTTTAACCTTCTTTTATCTGATATTTTTAGGTGGTACAACGGTATCCATAAAATACCTCGTCCAAGCTGGCCATATTAAACCAATGCCCAGTAAACGAGAATTAATGCAGTTGTATGAAAAAAATAAGGCAGAACGTGCAGCAGCCAAACTAGAAGACGTGAATACAACACAAAAGACTAAAGAAAAGCAATGATTCGAACTGAAAAACTATGAAGTCATACATTAAGATACATGTTTAAAGCGAATTTAAAATTCGATCTTTGAGATCTTGTGTTTTGTTATGAAGATTGAAAAGAGTAAATGATGAGCATTCTTTATTTTATCTTAGATTTAAAAGATGCTGTCATTGTATCACATAATATTTAGCCTTACCAGACCTTAACTAAAAAAAACCCATAGTGACGAAGTTTTTGTGGTATACATATGTACATTAGGGTGGTCCAAAAAAAAGTAAAGTGAAAAAGTAATGTCGGAACTTTTAAACTCTCACCCTCTAGGATTGTTCTATACCAAAAGAAATATTCCCATATTTTTTATTTTGAAATCAAAAGATATTTAGTGATCGCTCAAAGCGCTCAAAGTTTTCCATGTATTTTTATGGGGGAAAAACCACTTTTCGTATAAATGGTATAGAGTTCTCGAAAATCAATAATTTTTGATCGGAAAATGCTTAGACTTTTTTGCTTTTTCAATTTTTCCTAATAAACAATCGTGGTACAAAGATCAATAAAAATATTAAAAATAAAATTTTAATAAGCCACAATAACATTGACAAATATTTACTTTACCATTTTTTCATATGAACTATATTTTATACATAGGTCCGCCCAAACCCCCAGAAAATTCAATGGGGAGGGGGATAAATAAATATTCTCAGTATTAAACAATTGTTAAATAAACAATTGGGTATTGTTACTGAAAGTCTCCTGAAGAGAACCAAAGTTTTCCGCTTGAAAAATATTAATTTTCAAGAATTCTATATAAAATACATGGAAAAATTTGAGCGACCTATAAATATTTTTTGATTTCAAAATAAAAAATAGGGGTATATTTTTCGGTATAGAACAATCCTAGGTGGTGAAAGCATTCAAATTCAGACTACTGATTTTGGACAATTTTTTTGTCAAACTGCGCATAGCAAAAGAGTAATCTACGGAGAATTATAAGAAAACTTGCGCAATAAACTATGGGTCTAAAATAAAAACCTAGCTCCCGCCGAGAGACATAAAAATCTGTGCAGCGTCATACCAAAAATTGAAATCTCTATGCCTCCTGGCGCGGTCTAGATTTTAGGTTTAGACCCCTAGTTTTTTGGGAAATTTTCTTTAAATTTAGCGTAGATATAGCTAGCGTTGCTATACGCCTTTCGCATTTTTTCCCACCGGAACAATTTGACCCACCCTAGTACGTTTACATACATAGATACGTTTGATGCACTGACCCATAATGTAATAAACAAAGTGAAATCAATATTTGACGTACGCTTATTTGAAAATTTAAATGTAAACAATTCGTATATTTGCTTACATTAACCCTCTTTCGGCTTTGGTTTGGAACCGAATTCTGAGATAGGGCGTTGTTGAACTAAATTCTGTGGTAGGGTGTTTTTCAATAATTTTTTTTCAGAATTTATGGAAGTTGCGCTAGAAATTTCCTGTTTTTCTCGATTTTAGCAAATAAATTAGTCATTAAACCGTATTTTTTTTGTGAATAACTATTTACTGATATTTACACATATAAATAGTATTGACGAAGGTACAGAAAAAGCACTTGGCAGTGCAGCTGCTTTGTCTCGGAAACAATATGCCGGTACGCAGAATATCCCCATCTCAAAAGATTACCCTATATACAGATGTACATATATATATACACATTAAGATTAAGGATTCTTTCTCAAATTAATTACTACAAATCAGGACCATCTATTATTACTAAATTGGCGAAAGTATAAATTTTATGCGATACTTCACATCTGTTTGGCGCACTGCACGATATGCCTTTGCACTAATGCATTTGAGAACATACCCACACTTTAATCATTACCTCTCATCTGATGAAATAGCAGGTAACATCCTTGATGGTACTGCATCTGGATCCAGGCGTCTTCTCTTGGCATTGATACTTGCATAAACGATATCATTCCATTTGAAGTGCAGAGCGCAAACTTTCGATATCCAGTTAGTTTAACACCACACGCATTCATCCAATCCCTTCCTTGCGTAACATCTGTTGGCACACGAAACATACCTACCTCATTGATGTGAGTGCTTCTGAACAAACAAAGTATCTGGCATTTTAAATGCATTTTTTTTTCTCTTTGTTCTTTAATCTCTAAAACAAGTATTTTTTGATTTGAAATCTATTTTTTTTTTTTTTTTGAAATTAATTTATAATTTTGCTAGTTTCAAATGGGTTAACGCAATGACAAAACTCTTGTCATATAAGCGTATAAAAAATAAATATGTCATATTGATTTCACTTTGCTTATTACACTATGCACTGAACCGAGTTAAAGAAACAAGTAGAATTAACTTGCGTTATTTTTCTTAATAATACACATACAAAACAATTTCGTAATACATTAGGACTCCCTGTGCGGTGCGCTTATGTTCCTTGGTAGGCTCCGAAAGGATCATATTTGCCGGAGTTTGCCCTCTCAATATACATATGTACATATATGAAAAAAGCGTGCCTTTAGGACTCCTTAAATACGTGATTTCAGAGCACCAGAAAGCTCCCTCA